CGCACACCAGGGTGGTCTAACCTCTGCAGTGGAATCAGAGCTGGCAGGCACCAGGGAGACATCCTGCAAACCCTCCTGCCACCCTCAAGGCACCAACCCCTTGGGCAAGCCCTGAGCCCCTGTGCCCAACTTCCTCCTGCTGCCACGGGTCAGCAGCAGATACCCTGGGAAGGAAGGAGACCACCCATTATCCGAGCCCCAGATCACTCGAGGATGACAGCTATCTCTGGAGATAAGAGACAAAAACCTACCCTGCTAACAGCAGAGGGGGAGGGAAAGAGAAACCACTTCCACTGAGAGACTCAAGCGAGCCCTTCTGCACTGCAAGGAGATGCTGATGGGCCTGAGCACAGAGTGGTCCTTGCTGAGCCCGACAGCTACAGCCTCAGCACTGCAGGAGGCTTCTGCAGGTCCAGATTTCCTCCAAAAATCTCCTTCCAAAACAGGTTTCCATCCCCAGTCCCTCCCCTGAGCCTGCAGGTATCCAGCACAGGAAAGAGCAGGATTAGGGAAGCAGGCTCAGGTGACAGGCTTTAAAAGCAGGCTGGGAAGGAGCACACCTTCCCATTTTCCCTGTCAGCTCTGTTTGCACTCCCCTGTGCAGGACAGAGCCCATCTGTGCAGCACGGGGCCCAGACCCACTTCCCCTTTCTGTTTGTACCTGCTCACAGCGCTGCCCCAACACCGAGCACAGGGGTCCCACTGCCCCAGGCCCCGTGGCTCCAGCACCAAGAACTGCCTTATCCCCACGAGGCACACAGAAAACCCTCCCAAATCATGTTTCCAATTTCTGCAGCATTATATAATTAGCATCATTTGTGTTGCAAAAGTAATTGCAGTAACATTTTTAATTAGTCTATTCGAACACTAACATTTCTCCAGTGTGCATAATATGTTGACACGAAATTACTGGGTTTGAGGCAACTCTGAATGATTGGAGTTTGTTTTGCTTTTGTTTCTTACTTGCTTAATCCAGTCAATAAGAGCCGGCAGTGCACGGTGAGGAGCCCAGCCCGCAGCAGGGCTGCAGTGAAGTGTGATGGGTTTCACTTCCGTCTGGAGGGCAGAGAGGGGGGAGGAAGGGTGGGTTGTGAAGGCTGAGAGCAAGAGAGAAATGCTTGCTTGAAAGGTAAGGCCCAGGTGATGTTCTCCAGCTGCTCCAGTTTGGTCTCAGATGTTGAATCGTGAAAACGCAAAACACGAGGGCGCTGGCCTTGGAGGACAGGGAGAGGAAAAGCTGGAGGGAGGAATTCTATTTGCTGTGAAGTTTAGAGAGATTTAATCTGAAGAGTATCTTTGCTTGCCGAGTCATAACCAGGGACAAGAAGCACACATTCTCCCCAGAAAGTTACTGCATGAAATCCAAGCACCCATTACCAAATGATGCTTTTTTCCCCCCCTCTTCTCTTAAGGAATCAAGATTTTCCTTTCCAAGATCTTTTCTACCTTGTACACGTGAAGCAGTAACAGATGCAGGTTATTTTTTGCTCCCAAGTGTGAATCACGTTACAGGGCTCCTCACCTCTGCAGGAACACCTCTGCCCAGGCCCCCGGGTGAGAGCCCAGCCCAGCCACTGCCACAGCCTTTCCTGCTTGAGCAAACAGCTCTGGGGGACATGTGCCCCTCAGCAAACCTCCAACACAGCCAGCACCCCCATCCATAGAGCGACCAAGAGCTGCTTGGACAGCAGGAGAAACGGACCCTGAGGATGCCAAGGGGGGAACACCAGCAGGACAGACAAAGAGAAAGCTGCCAGATCCCAGAGGCAGCACATTCTGACAACGAGAGCAAGAACTTCACTCCTGACAGCTTTCAAGCCAGTTCCCTTTCCTTTACCATCCTCACAGCACTTCCCACATGAGCAGAACAGAGACAGAAAGCCACCAGCTGTGACAGGCCACACGTTCCCTCCCCAGGACAGCCTGCAGATCCCTCCTCATCCTCCCTGGTAATGGAATGGGACAGATGGATCCCAAAGCCCGGGAAGGGGAGAACATGTACACCCCCTTCTCTTTGTTACTGAGGAGTTCACACACCTTCCAGCTACAGCAGGTCCTGGCAGCAGGGGCTGACAGGCAGCCAGGGCACACGGAGCTCATCTCCCAGGCTGCTCCGGGCACATCCTCAGCACTCCAGCCTGCCCACAATGTACTGACAGGTTCTGTTAACCTGCAGCACCAGCCCTGCTCCTGGGCTGCCTGTGCACAGACCTCTCCTGCCCACACTGAAAGGTTTCTTGGCTTGGGAGAGAGAAGTTGGGCCAGGAAGTCTTCAGATGCACACGAGGATAAGGAGGGGATTGCATACAAGGATGAGAAGCAGATTAGCAGGCAATTAAGTGGCATTTGTGGTATCCATTAGTATTTCAAGATACAAAGAGTCAGTTTCTGCTTCTTCCTGCCAAAAGTCACAAGTAATGAGCTAATTAACAATCTAATTATTGCAAATGTCCTAGAAAGAAATCAGGGCACAGGTGAAAACCTACTTAGAGCGAGCACAGCAGTAGGAACAGCTGAGAGCCCAGACAGCCATGTGCCTCAGCTGCAATTCCAGCCATCCCACGGAACAACAGGATAAGATACTCAGGGAAGTCGTGAAAAAGTTGAATGAAAGCTGCATTCAGTAAAGGGAGAGCTAGACCCCAACATCAGAGCTTACTGCCAGCCCTGTGGGGCTGAAGAACCCCCAAGTGAAAGCCAGCCCTAGGGTTTTCTGCTTTCATGTCAGTATTTACCAAGTCCAACAGCAGCTGCAGCACAACCCGTGGGGCACAACCCAAAGCTGGTGGTACCCACAGGACCCAGTGCACCCACGGCTCTGGAGGAACAGCCTGACCCCCTGGCACAGGGCCAGCCCTGGCACCCCCAGCGCTGCCTCCCAGCACAGAAGGGCTGTGATCCCAGAGCAGATGGCAGAGGGAGCGACTTCTCACTCGTGCTCGCTCCCAAACCTGGCAGTGTTCTGCAGGGAGACACAGCCTGTCCTCCACCAAGGGGCACCAGCTGCCCGTGCCCTCACTGAGATGGGCATCACCCCCACAGCTGCCCCACCAACGGGAGCACTTTCACCTGGGCACCTCAGCACCTCACAGAAGGGATGTCAGTGAAAATCCACTCATCACTGACTGTGGAAAGGAAGGACTGGGGCTGTTCTACAGACCCAAATCCGCAAAATTTCCTACTGCACAGTAAGAAGGTTTTCGTGTCTGTAATAGCAGAACAACCTGGAAAGTGGTTTCTTAAGGCAGAAAGGGATGTCACAGACCAGTCACACACCCTTGGAGACATCACTGAGCACTCCTGGAAATGCTACTGGGGTCACTGCAGCCTCACAAGGGCTCCTGCCCCACAGCCCAGGGAGAGGACTGCTCTGCTCAGCACCTACGGGGGGGGGAAAACCTTCCACGTCTGCAGTGGCAACTCTGAAACCACCTTCGTGGACCCACCTACTTGGCCTTGCACTGAGGACTGATTTGATACTGGTTACAAACACGTAAGGACAAACCTTGAAGCAAGAGCACAGCTCCAGGTTTGGATAATAGTTCCTGACAGCTGGATGAGACTTGGAAAGGTTCCAGTTATCCAGCCCTGGATGCTGTAGGTAGAACTGAGCAAAGCTCTAGAAATAATGCAGGAAAACCCTGCCCTGCTAACACATGGTCCCCTCCAGCTTCTCCAGCACACTCCAGATTTCAGGAACATTGTGTTTGCACAAAGATGCCTGCACTGTAAGGAGAGCCGGGGAATCAACAGCCAGGTAAGCCTGGGAAGCCCCACGACAGAGACACAAGCTGCACAAAACTCCTCTGAGTAATGTGACTGAACTGCCCATGTGTGAAACCTCAGGTACCAGGGGAAGCTGTGACCTTGAGAAAGAGCCCTAGGACATGTTTTAGTCTCTATATCCGCTTTCCTCTGCCTGCCAACACCTGCCCAGGCCTTCGGGTGGGGGTTTGGGAGACAGCAGGGAAATGGTTTTGGTATTTTAAGGTTATACTCCTAGGACAAGTGTTAAGGATGAGTAGCAGCATCATTTAAATTGGATTAGACTTACACTGCCTGTACATCTGCAGAGATGCTCCTGAGAGCACCCGAGACAGAGCCCTCCTGCCTGCAGGTACAGCTGCCCCCCGAGGCCCAGAGCCACCCTGGCACCCTGAGCTTGGGCTCTGTGCCACACCACAACCCACACAGCTGCCAGGAGGAGCAGTTCTGGAGATATTAGAGCTCTACAGCCGGTTTGTTTTCATGCCAAATACCTCCACCTGGGATTCAACCACCCGCCAAAATAAAACTCTGTCCCAAACATTCACAAGAGCAAAATTTCACTGCCAGCAGCTGCAAGCACCAGCCCCATTGAACACCACACCCAGACCTGGACCCCACACAGGTGGGACCCGCAGGGCAGGATGAGCTGCAGGCAGGAACAGCCTACAGCTGGGCTGGCAACGAGAGCAACCAGATAACGCCTGGTTAATTCATCCAAATTTCCCGAGAGGACATCACAAATCCCTGAAGAGCCCCTCCAGAATCCCAGCATTATCAGAACAAAGAATTCTGGTCGTAGTAACCCAGCTACTGCATCATATTTTGTTGTAGAGCCTCATTTCTCTCCCCAGCAACACAACTAAGCCATTCAAGTCCTTGCAGGCTGCGCAATTCCAGCCCCAGAGTAGCCCTCACCCAGCCCGTTTGCCAGCCAAACACATGTTTTCCTGTTAAGTTCATTAAAAACAAAGTCCTCTCTGCCTTTTTCGGGGGATTTAGCTGAAGTCCCGGGTGCTTATCTCTGGAAACGAAACCCGACCGGCTTAAAGGCAGCGACCAGTTGCTCGGTTGATTAAAAAAATGACTAAGCTGCTTCCCCGGGTCCGCGGGGATGCTCGGGGACGGTGCCGCGGGGATGCTGCCCCCGGCCCCGCGGGGATATTCAGGGCCGATCCCGGAGGATGGATAGGGTGTGTGGGCCCCCCCAGCCCCCCCGGCAGCGCGACACTCACCTTGACACTGGAAGCCCTGCTTGCCGAAGCCCCTGCGGAGAGAGAGGCGGGGTGAGACACGGGCACCGCGGCGCTGCGACCCTGCCCGGCCCGGCCGGCGGGAGGAGCGGGGGGAGCAGGCACCGGGCGGGACCGGGATGGGATGCGGGGGGATGAGGGGACACGGGACGGGAAGGGGTGCCCGGAGACGGGCGAGGATGAGCCCCACCGGGCTGGGCGAGGACGGGGACGGGTGTCCCGCCGAGCCGGGGGTCCCGGAGCGGGATGGGGGTCCCGCAGGGGGGGTGCGGGGAGGTCCCCCGGGGGTCTCACCAGATGAAGTCGGTGCAGTGGCTGCAGAAGGTGGGCTGCTTGAAGAACCGCGCCGTGAACTTGTGGTTCTTCACCTCGTGCACGTTCTTCTGCCGCAGGGCGCCCTTGCGGGCGAAGCGCACCGGGCCCTCCTCGCCCTCGGGGGCCGGCGCTGCCGCCGGCGGCTCGGCCATGCTGTGCGGGGGCTGCCGGCCCGGCCCGGCTCGGTGATGTGCGCGGGGCTCGGTGCCCGCCGGGCCCGGTGCCGATCGGTGCCGCTCCCGCAGCCGGCGGGAGGCTCCGACACCCGCCCGGCCCCGCCCCCTCATCTACATACGGCGCCCGCCCCGCCCCTCAGCTGCACCTCAGGCCACGCCCCCGGCTCTTCTGCATGACAAGCCCCGCCCCCCATTGGCAGTGACCCCGCCCCTCCTGTTTTGCATGTCATTTGCATGGCGTGTCTCGCGGGGCGCAGTGGGCGGGGCCTCGCCCGCCATCTCATTTGCATACAGCATCTGCATCCGCGCGGTGATGCTGCCCCGGCCCGCGGGGACCGCGGCGCCACCACGGCCCCAGCCCGGCCCCGCAGGGACACCCCCCGCTCCCGCTGCCCCTGCAGACAGCGACGGAGCAGCAGGAGCGGTGGGAGACAGACACGCAGCAACAATGGAGGTAATCATGGTGGTAACAAGAACTGTAAAAACAACAATAAAAAAGCCAGGGAAGTCCTGACTTCATGCCGGTTGTGGGGGCACCTGCCCTATAGCCACTGCAGATACCCACCCCGATACCCACTGCAGGGCCAGCAGTGGCAATGACAGGTGTTCCCCGACTCCCTCAGGAGTGCCAGACCCCCCACTGCTAAGGCCAGAATTAATTTTTTTCTACCTTGATTTTCTGCACAACAGGAGTCAGCAGCAGGAGCAGCAAGTCCAGAGGGGATCCAGGCAGGAGCTCAGACCCAGCAGAGGGGCATGGCTCCGTGCCAGGCTGGCCACTGGAGTGACCATGGCTTGGGGCAGCAGGACCATGGCCATGAGCAGCCCAGGCAGGGCCACGCTCCCAGGGCTCACACAGGGCCACAGGGACACAAAGCTGACCAGCTCAGTGGTCCTCTCAGAATGATTCTTTAAACTTACAGTTGGAATAATGATCTTCTTTTACCCAACCCACTGCAAACACCTCAGCTGGCTGGCATGGAAGAGTTTTCCAACCATATCCACCATTCATCTCTCTCCCTCCCTGCCAGCACTAACGGACACTGAAAACCAGATCCATCAGCCTCCTCTGACATCCAGGTCTCCCTGTGCCCACCTCGTGCTGCATCACCCTGGTCTGGGCACTGAGGAAATAAGAATTCAAATCAAAACAGGAGACAACTTCAATGGAAACACAACCACGAAAATAATTCCGTGAACAACAGATCTTTCTAAAATTTCACTTGTGGGATTTAATTCTGGCTCTGCAGCCACGTGATCCTTTCCCTTTTGAGGCCCAAGACCATCTCTGCTCTGCTGGGATCCAGTCCTCCATCCTACGTGCTCTTTCTCTGAAGAGAGCCCCGCTCTCTCCATGGAATTAAGTGCCCAGGAGGCTTTCTCAAAATAGGCCCAGGGCTGTTATTATATGGCTGCTTTCAAAGGTTCATTACAGTAATAACACCGGCCTGTCCTGCTGATGTCACCCTCCTAGAAACAGGCAGGCTGGTACCAGCTCCCAGCACCATCTGATTTTCCCGCTAAGAAGGAGAAATAAATTGCAGGCATCCCTCCTCGTGCTGGGCAGGGACCGAAGGGAGGTCCCTGGCGTGCCGAGAGCGTGGGGGCTGCAGGTGACGCTTTCTGTGCCCATCACAGTGCCAGCCCTGCTGCAGGGTCCCCACTGCCCCAGGAGCCCCATTCACTGCGGGCTCACACACAGAACCCTGCACAGCAGAAACAACTCCTCCTGCATGGAAAGGAACAGGAGCAATAATGGGAATAATAACAGGGTGTTTGGACTCCTGCCCTGTGTAATTCATGAGGAGAGGGGTGTGTTGCCCTCAGTGCTGCTGCACTGCACGTGTGGCCACACCAGGCTGAATTCTACTCATTCTAATTGTGAACTCTGGGCTTTGCCTCTTTCTCCTTTGTTGTTCTTTTACTGTATGTTCCCATTTCCCTGCATAGCTGCTGCATGTGGAATGCAGAGAATGTGGCTTTAGTCTGCCCCATGAGTATCAATAATCATGATAATCATGCACAAACTTTTGTCACTGCTGGGCCAAGGAGTACAAAAGTCAGGTACCAGTTCCTGCTCTCAGGGGATTGCTTTCTTCTTTCCTTAGTTTACATTATATTACCTTATTTTACCTTTTTCATAACAGTGCACTCTGAGTCATGTCATTTTAAAGGCAGGATTTTCATGACCATGTCAATTTTCACGGAAGCTGAGGATCCAGATCCCCTCAGCACTTTGAAATGCCGGGATGAACATCCCATCAGCTCCTTCCTTTAAGGAAACTGTTATATTTATTAATGCAAGTGAAGTCCCCACAGGTGTGACGAGGGACTAACACAACAAACAACCCTGAACCGTCGCTCTCGGGGGAGCACAGTGGTGGAGCAGAGGGGAAATCAGCCCCATTCATTCCCATCTCCATAAAACTGCAGGTTCTGATCCTGCTTTCCCCTCCATCTGTACAGGAGGGCACCAAAACCCAGCCCGTGGTGTGGGCAAATGGTGACTCCACTCCCTGCCACCCAGGGGCTCTCCACGGAGCTGTCACGTCCAAGCTCGCCTTTCCCGGAGGATCTGTGCCCTCCCTCCGCTGCCGGGGGAGGGAGAGCAGCCCCGCTCCGCGGGAGACTGCGGGTGCAGGAGCAGCCTCCCAGAGAGACATGATTCACATCCTGAGGAAGGGACCTCATCCTCCCACCCGGCAGCAGGAGCTGCTCTGGGGAAGGGAAGGTGCTGAGCGCTGCAGGGCTGGGCTGGGAAATGTGGGAGCAGAGAGCCCAGCGTGAGGCTGCAGGGTCAGGGGGCAGGAGAGGAGTAATGCAAACCCCTTCCCAAAATCCCTCAGCAACAACCCCCAGGGGTTCAGGTCAGGGAAATGCTGCTATTGCGTGATCCGGCTCCAGCCCCACAGCTTGGCTTCACACGGGGTGAGAGCCCACACCGGTGACAGTCAGCCAGGCCCAAAGCCCAGCAAAGAGACAGAAACCCCCAAATCCCCCAAACCAAGGTGAATTCTCCCCATTTCCTTGGCAAGCTCTGCCTCCACACGTGCAGGAGCCCCTGAGTGTGCCGGTTCTGCCGTCCTGGAGCAGAGGTTTGTGGGAGCACAGCGAGCGCCTGCAGCCTCCAGCCTGGCGCTGATGTGGGGATGCTGCTTCCCTGGTGCCCACACTGGCTTCCTCTGAAGAATTCAAAGAAGCTGCGGAACAGATTTGTCTCTCTTTTTTTTCAGCTTTCTTTTCTTCGGGACCTGAATCTGCCACAGGAAACAGGTGGAGGAAGAGTCCGGCTCTAATTAGATATAAAGGTGTCTCAGCAGCCTCCACATCCGTTTGTGGATGTCCTCTTGCCCCCACCCCACATGCCAGGAGGGCCAAGGCCAGGCCAGGGTCGTGGAATAGGAACAGAGAACCCTGGATGTGGGACAGGGCACCATGGAGCAGGAATAGGGATCATCTTAGGTGGCAAACCCTGGTTCCACCAAACTTTGGAGGAGCTTCTCACTGCCCACAGCAGGCAGTTCTCAGAGGCTGCCCAGGGGTCCCTGGAGATGCATGGGGCAAAGGGTCTCGGGGCAGAGCTGCAGCTGGAGCTGCAGTTTGGGACATCCCTGGTTCGGGGCAGCACTGGCCCCACTGGACACCCACTGGGGAGGGGATTCTGCCCTGGGTCCCGTGGGGACACTGGGGACAGAAGGGGTGACAGGCAGCCCCCCGCAGCAGGGTGACATCAGCTGCACTGGTTTTTCACTTTCTGCTTTCACAGTTTTCACATGTTCCACGTCCTCCGTGCAGCGAGGATGCAGCGGGAGAGGGATGCTGCGTTATGCGAGGAGAGACCCAGCTCCCCACCCCCCCGCGGCAGGAGATCCTCCACAGCAGCCGCCGGGGAGAGAAAGCCCGAGTGTTGGTGCCTGAGCTTACACAGAGCTCAGGAGGGGCCGGAGCGCGGCAGGAACAGCCGCAGGGGCAGGGCTGCAGCAGCAGCGCTCAGCTGGAGCAGCCCCTGCTCCACTCTCGGATGCAGAAATCCATCGTTTCCATTTGCCTCCTCCCGACCTTTCCAGCAGCCTCGTTTCACCTGGCAGCACCAATGCGGAACAGTTGGCAGCTCTGGGATGCAGGGAGGTGATGGAGAGGGGGCTGTCACCAGGGGCATGGGGATCACTGCCTGCAGGGGCACGGTGGGCTCCAGCTGCCCATGGCCCCCCAGACCAGCTCTGCTCACGGAGAGGGGGTCAGACTCAGGGAGCAGAGGCAAACAGCTGTGCTGGGAAGAGGGGAGGAGACCCGGTCAAAGCAAACAAAGAAATGTCAGCCCTAAAGGTCCCCTGAGAGCAGGTGAAGCAGCAGTTGGCAGAGCTGGCACAGGCTGACCCTCCACCATCTCCCCAGAGCACCAGAGAGCACCATTTCCTGCCCGAGTGCAGCTCGGGTCCTGTTTCCAGGCTCCCAGAAAATCTGTGCTCCTCTGCCCAGGACTCACGGACACCTGCAGCAAGCTGGGGAGCGGGGGTGGCCTGGGGGTGCAGTTCCCAGGCTGTGAGGGGCAGCAGGGCTGTGTCAGAGCAGTCAGCCTGTCCCCAGCTCAGAGCACAGACCTGCAGTGCCTGCTGCTCGGGGCTTGTGCAAATCCATCCCTGCTCTTCAGAGTCAACAGCATTCCTCCATCCTTCCTCAAGGCAGAGCTCGCTGCAGGTGAGGAGCTTGTGTTTTCAGTGCCCAGTGGTTGCACACCCTCTGCCCCCTCTGGTGAGGGGCACAGGCACCAACCCTGCCCAAAACCTGCAGACCCTGCGTTTCCCACCCTGTGTGCTCAGGAAGCAGAGGCACATCCCAAACATGGTTAGGCTATTTAAATATTTCATATTCCTGGCTGCTGGCTTTCAGGGAGAACAAATTAATTCTGTTTCATGTACCCAGAAACGGCCCACATCAAACTGCCTTCCTGCACAGTTGGTTAAGCAAAGTTTGTGGTAAAGTCCTTGGGGTTTTGCTGCTTGGTTCCCAAACCATCCGATCAACAAGTGACTTCCATATCCTCTGACTCCTGGGGAAGTCACTCCCTGCTGTTG